AGTAAGTGCTTATGGAGGACTGATGATTCATAGTTTTATCTCTGGTTAATCTCACAATGGCTGCAGTGGTCTCCCAAATCCATCCTGTGGTTATTCCCCCAATTCCAGAAGGCATAATTGAAATAAATATACTCAGCAGGTGGTAGAATCTCCATATTATTTTCTTACCCTGTGGAGTAAGGACCATTATGGTGAGTAATACCAAGTGGAAGCTCTAGTACTGGCTCTGCCTAGTAAAATAGTAAAGCAAAAGCAACACCACATTCCTGATGGAACTGCAGAAATTAATAAATCCATCAGTAACTTAAAAGATGCAGGGTTGGTGACCCCCAACACATTTATTGGAGAGGTTATAGAGATTAATGACACCATCAGCAACTTGAAAGATACAGGGGTGCTGATCCCCCCCACATTCCTATTCCACTAGTATGTTTGGCATGTGCAGAAGACAGATGAAACTTGGAAGATGACAGTGGATTACCAATTGCAGCTGCCGTACCAAATATGGTTTCATTGCTTGAGCAAATTGACACATCCTCTGGTACCTAGCATAATGTTACTGATCTGATAAATTCTTTTCCTGGATAGCTATTAGTAAAGACCACCAGAAATAGCTTGCTTTCACATGACAAGGCCAACAATATACATTCACTGTCATACCTCAGGGGTATATCAGCTTTCTAGCTCTATGTCATAATTTAGTTAATGGGGATCTTAATTGCCCTTTCCTTCCACAAGCTATCACACTGATCCATTACACTGATGACATTGTGCTGATTGGACCTAGCAAATAAGACATAGTAACTACTCTAGATTTATTCATAAGATATTTACATGCCAGAGTGTGGGAAATAAATCTGACAAAAACTCAGGGTCTTGTACCTCAGTGAAATTTCTAGGGATCAAGTTGTAAAGTTTATTCTCTGTAGGTTTATTGCCAAGTTAAAAACGAGGAAACTGAGGCCAGCACAAGAAAATTAGATGCCAATCTATTAAGCTCCCGAGTGAGGTTCTGTGGTCCTGGGGAGAGGGGCCAGGGAAGTCGTGCCTGACTCCTCTCAGTAGTGGGGTTTTATAGGGAGTGAAGGTGTTCAATTGGATTTGGAGAAACAGGATGTGGATGTGGTGAGCTGCTATTGGTAGGGAGGTGGGACTTCCAGTTAGTGGGCTAAGTGCTGAGTGCAGAGGGGATTTCCAAGGGTGGGGTTAGGTGCTGAGTGCAGAGGGGATTTCCAAGGGTGGGGTTAGGTGCTGAGTGCAGAGGGGATTTCCAAGGCGGAGCTAGATGATCAGTATATTCTGATAATGTAATTATCAAGCAGGGAGGGAGTGGGCGTGTTCAGACTCCTGGCGAGGCAGCCAGTCTTACACAAGTGGTGTGGGGAATATTGAGAATCTCTGCCAGCATGAGGATAAGTTGTCACAGCTGGCTTCCACAACCAAAAAGAGGCACAGAATCTAATGAGTTTCTTTGGGTTTTGGAGGCAACATATTCCTCACTTGGGTGTGTTACTCTGGCCAATTTGCCAAGTGACTTACAGAGCTGCTACTTTTGAGTAGGACCAGAAGAAAAGGCTTCACAACAGGCCTAAGCTTCTGTGTAAGCTGTCTTCTGCTTGGACCATACCAACAGATCTAGTGGTGCTTGAAGTGTCAATGGAAGATAGGGATGCTATGTAGAGCCTCTGGTAAGGTAGGCTTCTATAGATTTATTGCTGAATTTTGGAGCAAAGCCCTTGCATCCTCTTCAGATAATTGAATGGGGTTACTGTGCTGGATGGGGTGATTGTTTCTCATGACTATGGGGAAATTAGACCACTACTTCACAATGGCGATAAGGAAGAGTATGTTTGGAATATAGGAGATCTCTTCATGCATCTCTTAGTGTTACCATGACCTGTGATTAAGGTCAATTAAGAAAACTACAACTCAATCAAGGCAGGACCACTAATTGTCCAGGCTTTTCAGGAATGAAGGTTTGTACCAGATAAAGAACCATGGCCAGCTAAGGTGCTTGCTGAAGGCACAGGGACTACAGAATGGGTGGTAGAAGGAGGTAGTTATAAATACCAGCTATGACCACATAACCATTTATAGAAACTACACACACACACACACACACACACACACACACACACACAGAGTCTGTTCTCTCTCATTCTCTAATCATGTAACATAAAGCATGTTTATATTATACTATTAAGTATTGTTAACTTTATGTCATAGAATTTATGAGACATCATAGAATTTAAATCATAAAAGTTACCAGACAGTAAGAAGAAGAGTAAACATTACTCACAGACTTTACCCCTTCTGAGAAGAGGTTGGTACATTTCCAGTTGTATGTATGACAGTTGTAACTTATTATGAAGAATTATGACTTTTAGTCTTTATTTGAAGATTAAGTAGGGCTTAAGGAGATGCATATGAGTGTCAGGTTGACAAGGAGTGGACCTTTGATGATTAATTGTATGCATCATCTTGATTGAACCATAGGTGCCCAGATTTTTGGTTAAAGTTCATTCTGAATGTGTCTATGAGATGTGTCTGGATGAGGTTAATTAACCTTTACGTTGGTAGGCTGAATAAAGCAGATTTCCCTCCCCAGTATGGGTAGGCCGAGGGCCTAAACAGAACAAAAGCCTGAGAAAGAGAAAATTCACTTTCTCTGCCTGACTGTCTTTGAGCTGGGACACTGGTCTTCTCCTGTCTTCAGACTAAGACTTCAAGTGGAATTTAAATTCTTGATTCTGGGGTCTTTGGGCCCAGACTGGAACTATACCATTAGCTCTCCTGGGTCTCCAGCTTGCAGATCTTGGGACTTCTCAGCCTTATAATCATGTAAGCCAATTCCCTATCTGTCTGTCTGTCTGTCTGTCTATCTATCTATCTATCTATCTATCTATCTATCTATCTATCTATCTGTTTATCTATCTAATCTGTCTGCCTGTCTGTCTATCTAATCTTCTTGGTTCTGTTTCCCTGGAGAACCCTGACTAATACACTAGACTAGGAGGAACTGACCATGCTCCTTACTCTTGCTCTAACCTGTGCCTCTTCCTCTGTTTTGTTGTTGGTAATGATGTCTCAGCCACCTAATCTTTTAAGCTAGAACAGATGGTTCATTCTTCATTTTCCTTAATTCTACACCTCTAGTTCCTGTTCCATCTGGACAATTTTACTCTTGAATTATCTTTTTCGTCTCTACTCTTCTATACATCCCTAGATCAGACACTTAGTACCTCTTTCTTCACTATTTCAAGAGTTTCCTAATTAACTCCCTGCCTCCAACTTTATTCCTCCAGTTCATCCTCCACACTGCAGCCAGAGTAATCTCTGCAAAAAAACAAAACAAAACAAAACAAAACAAAAAAACCACCAATCCAGGTAGTTCCTGCTTTAAAAGTCAAAGGTGTTTCTAATAAATTAGGAAAACATTAATTTTTTTAAACTGTGTGGATTTTTCCACATGTGTACTGTTTATGGGAACCCACGATCTTTCCTGATTGTGGGTTATCTTTAATGAGAAAAGGAATTTTGCACAGAAATTTAAGGTTATTAATAGTGCATTGTAATTATAAAAAAATGAATGAAATCGGAGAGAGATCCTAGAAATATCGACTATAGAATTTTTGAAACAGGAAGAGCAAAACACAGTAGTTAAGGCGGGGTGATACACATTGAAAAAAAAAGGGATAGTTAACCTTTCCAAAAGTATCAAAGAGATAAAGGGAAATAGGATTGAAAAAAATGATTAGGTTTAGAAGATTGAGGGTAACTGATAGCTTTTGATAACACAATTTCCTTTGACTACAGAGTGTGAAATTATGTATTATAAGGGTTGAGAAATTAGAATCAGTAAATGCAGGCATAGAGAAGGGAGCTATAGTTTCACTCAATGCACTACAGTCTGTCATATTTTCTGTTATGACATCTGCATCTCTGTTCTTCCCTAATTTCTACTTTCCTATCTCTAGATATCTCTTAGTCCCTCCCACTCCATCCATCACATTCTGTCTTCATTGCCTCATTCTATCTCATTAATAATTGAACAAACTCAGTCCATATATCCTCAACATAGATATGAAGAGGGAGAGTAAATGAGAGTATTGGAAACAGCAAGACAGGGAAATGGAAGCAATTTTTGCTCCTTGCTGACTCTTTTGGTTCATGAACCTTTAAAGAGCCTTCATAGACTTCCCTGTGGTTGATTTTCTGGACTCCTGTAGTGCAAAAAGGGGGAGACAAAAAATACAGCATCATAGCAAAGTAGGTCCATTAAATATTAAGTTATAAAATAAAATTGTAATTCTAAATTAAAGCACTAACTTTGATGACAAGGAGTTTACATGTGAATTATTTCTTCACATGCATAAAGTGCTGATACAGTGTTATTATTTGGTTTGCTGTCATTTTATTTTAAGTAAGGACAAATTCCTTGAGTGCTCTGCATGCCCTTCATTTTTTGGTAAGATAATTAGATAGCAACCACAGTTGAGAACATAGGTTGGAGGAGATGACATTGTTTTTTCCTAATTTAATTCCATTACTGGGGGCAGTGTGGCACTTGGGGATAGATTCTGCGTGTTATTCAGAGTCTTCAGATTGCTGTTGATCTTTTGGTTCACATGAAGTAGAAGTTAAATTCACATCTTCTTTATATGAATTTGAGGAAGCTGAAGTATTTGGTTGCACATCTTGTTCCGAATCTAGATGGGACAAATAGGCTAAACACGTGTCTTGTACTGAGCTTTGGCCCGAAGAAGAATGGAAATCTGGCTTCACGTCTTCTGACTTCAGGTCCCCTGAGGTTTGCCCTATACATTTTATGTCCCCTGGTTTGATGTCACTAGTATACATATCCCCTTTTTGTGTGACTCTGGATTGAAGGTCGTGTTGGTCTTTATCTTGACCGTCTTCACATTCTAGGTTAAGTCGGGCTGTGGTGTGCTGGGTTTGGACTTCTTGGTATAGAGCTTTCTGCTTTAGGGCTTCTTTCTCTAATAGATCTTGTGTTTGCCAGTGCTGCATGGCAAATTGCCACTCTCGTGCTTTGTAATCTTTGTCTCTCCAGCCTTGAGTTCTCCAGTCATTGGATTGACAGTCTTGGGTTGTCCAGTCCGTAGATTGCTTTTGTGAGTATTGCCAGAATTGGTATTGCTGTATTTGGGATTCTGAATCTTGGCATAACTGCTTTGGCATTTTCTCCACTTGAGCTTGCTGTCCTTCGGGTTGAACACTTTGGGACCATTCTTTTGGGGATTTCTTCTCTTGGGCCTGCTGGTCTTCAGCTTGCTTCTTTGAGTGTTGCTCCTTCTTAGTCTGCTGGTCTTTAACTTGCTCATCTTTAGATTGTCCTTCTGGGTATCGTTCCCCTTTGGCTTGCTGATCTTCAGCTTGCTGATCCGGGAGTTGCTCTGTGGTTTGATTAAACTGAGTTTGCTTATCTACGTAGTGCCTCTTTGGGAATAGCCAGTCTTTGATTTGCTGGTCTAAGGATTTCCGCCTTGGAGATTTCCAGCCTTTGCTTTGCTGATCTAAGGAATGCCCCTTTGGGGATTTCTGGCCTTTGGTTTGCACGTCTAAGGAATATCTCCTTACGTATTGCAAGCTTTTAGTTTGCTGGTTTAAGGAATGCCGTCTTGAGGATTTTCTACTATGGAGTTCCTCCTCAGCTTTCCATTCTTTGGTTTCTTCCATAACTTCTGATCTAATATTTTGATATGACATTTGTAAATTTTGCTGATTTTGAGGGTGAATGTTTTCTAGTTGACGATCTGGGGGTTGTTGAAGTAGGTGTTGTATTTTAGGGACCTCTACAATATGGGATGTTGAGGCTTCAGGTAATATGACTTGTTTTGATACAGCTTGGGATAGCACGTCTTGGGAAGTTATGTCTTGGGGTGACACATTGTGGGATGGTGTGTCTTGAGATAGTATAGATAGGGATTGCATGTCTTGTGATGCCATGTCATGAAGCAGCATATCTTGGGATAGTATGCCTTGAGGGGACAGGTCATCAGCTGTCAGATTATAAGACTGTTTGACATCAGATGATGTAGACTGGGTTTCCATTTGGGAGGGTTGTACCATAGCAGATTGTAGATCTTCATCTGTCATTTGTTTAAATGTAGAGTCTGGCTGAATGGGCATAATATTTTCTGAGGGCTTTTTCTCTAATATGGGAGGCACAGATTTCAGTTCAATTTCTTCCTCTGAAAATTTGGGAGATGAAAAGATACTTTGCTTTTGTTCATCTGTCACAGATCTCCTATCTTTATTATCTGGTTGGGAGACTAAAGGACTTCTAGAGAGTCTTAACTTGAAAAAAGCATAGCCTCCAAAGAAAACAGACTGTGCATATGTTGTTGAATCATCACTGGAAAACTCTTCTTGAAGCACAAATTGTAATTGAGCATTTTCTTCTGGGGCAGGTTGTTCACCATTTTGAGTAACATCCGAAGGCAAGAAAAACAGAACCTATAAAACAAAGGGTGAGGATAATTAATGTGACGGAATCATTGTTGATGACTTTTTTGTTTTCCAAGTTACTTTTAAACTCTGATTTAAGACAGTATATAGGGCATAACACCTAAATGAGAAGGCAGAAAACAATTACCAGACCTGCCTTTACCGTCAACTCATTGGTATTATTTTAGAAGTCATCACATGGTAGTTTTTCAAATGTTGAACAGAGGGATTTGATTAACATTGCCTCGAAAATTCCTCCCATACTTAACATTACAAAGCTTCTGAGACATTTTATATCATCTAGTCAATATTAATATATTCATGCTTAATCTATAATGGTTTATTGATCACCTAGATGAACTACATCCTGGGGATCAAAGACAATTAGATGTAGGTTTTTCCCTTAAGGTCCCTTAAAGTGTATATGATGTACATATAATTCCATTGCAATTATATATACATCAGCATATATAACAGATAATAGTAATACAATTTAGCAAATACCATTACATAAATAAATACTTAGTGGTTTTTGGGAACATATAAGATGACCTAATTCTAAGCCTGGAAATACTTCCCAAAAGAGATGATATTTATTATGTATCTTAACAGCTGAATAGGAATTGCTCAGGCATAGAAGGTAAGATGAAATAAGACAGGGGTCAGAATCCAGGTAGAAGAAACAGTGAAAATAGTGGGTACAAGCCGGGCGCGGTGGCTCAAGCCTGTAATCCCAGCACTTTGGGAGGCTGAGGTGGGTGGATCACGAGGTCAACAGATCGAGACCATCCTGGTCAACATGGTGAAACCCCATCTCTACTAAAAATATAAAAAATTAGCTGCGCATGGTGGCGCATGCCTGTAATCCCAGCTATTCAGGAGGCTGAGGCAGGAGAATTGCCTGAACCCAGGTGGCGGAGGTTGTGGTGAGCCGAGATCGCGCCATTGCACTCCAGCCTGGGTAACGAGAGCAAAACTCCGTCTAAAAAAAAAAAAAATAGTGGGTACAAAAACACAAGATTGTAATATAGTGCGGTGTGATGGCAGTTGGTAAGCAGTTAAATATTACTGATATTAGATGGTACCATATTAGATGGTATGCTAGGCTAGGAAATTTGGACTTTCATTTACAAACAAGAGAAATCTATTGGAGCTTTTTAAACAGCTAAGTGACAGCATCTGATACAATATTCAATGCTTCCTATTAGTTGTCATGTTGGTATTATAATTTTTAGAAAGCTGTTATTACAGCACAACCTGCTGCTTTTTATTCTGACTCCATGAATTACATCTTTCTGAGGTAATTCATGGAGTCAGAAGAGTCTATTTGATGAGGTGGATCAGAACTCAGTGATTAAGTGAATTAATTATGCTTGTCTAGTTGGTTGGTAACAAGTCTAGGTTGAGAATCTACATATTCTCTTACATAAGACATTGTCATTTCCCACTCTCCTAATTAGTTTTTCACACCTATATTTCATCCCTATTGAAGGCCTATTTGTGTGAATATAAATGGTACTTTGGGAGAGATTTTTACATTTCTACTAATCCTCAAACTTTTGTTTCAAACGAATTTTATTTTATTCCTTTATTTAAAAAGAGGTTTGAAAGAATGAATTACAGTTTCTCTGTTTATTCAAGCTCTTAAGTGCTATGATTTTAAATTTCTTCATCATTAATGAAAACTCAGTGATTACTAAAAGCTAGACAAGTTTCCAAAGTCATCAAGGAATTGTTATGACATCCCTATGAAGTTATTATCCTTCTTTTACAATTGAGGAAACTGAGGCTCAGAGATTTTAAATAACCAGACCAGTATCACAGAGCTGTTTACCTGCGAAGGATTTAAACACTGCAGTTGAATCCAAGATCCTGTGCTTTCCTATCTGATCTATGCTTCCTGTATTGATAACTTCACTTTCTCCTTAACTTGAAGGTGGCTATGACTAACGACCATATGAAGTCATACTTTTAAGCACAGAAACTGGCACAGAGAACTTTCCCTGTAAATGTAGAATTCATTTTCTCTTTCCTTTTCTCGAGATCAAGGTACATATTTTATTATTTTTGAATCCTCTGTTGTACTTTGCACATTACTATGCTATTAGCAGATTAAAGATCTGTATTCACTGAATTCAATTGAACAGTTATTTAGTGTGAGTAACTTATTTTAATATTGTTTCTAAAGGGCCTCAAACAGGGTTTGTACTCCCCTCTAGTTGTATAATACACAGATAATACAAGATAAAAGCATGAGATGAAAATGACAAAAGTCAGTACCCATTTATGATAAAAAAAATTCATCCAGTAATGGAGGAAATGAGGGACAAAAATACTATCATGCATATGGAAAAAATAGCAAAAAATGCAGAAGTAAATTCCTCCTTATCAATATTTATGTTAAGTATAAAGGGATTAATTTATCCAATCAAAATGCAGACATTATCTGAATGAATTAAGAAAAAGTGAACATGATCCAACAACGTCCTATGTAGAAGAGGCTTACTTTAGGTTCAAAGGCACAAATAGGTTGAATGTAAAATGATGGGAAAAAGTTATTTTATGCAAATGCAACCAAAAGAGACCTGAGAGTCAATACTAATATCAGGTAAAAAAGACTTTAAAAAATTATGAGGGACAAAGAAGGACTTTACTAATATAAGTTTCAATAGAGCAGGAATATATAAAAATTATAAACATTTACACACTTAAAAACAGACCCTCGAAATACATGAAGCTAACTTGACAGGATTGAAGGGAGAAATAGGCAGTTTTACAATAATAACTAGAGACTTCAATAACGCCTTTTTAAACAATAGTTAGAACCACCAGACAGATGATAAGCAAGAAAACAGATGATCTGAACAACAGTATAAACCAAGTAGACTTAATGGACATAAATAGAGCACTCCAACTAACAACATAAGAATACACATTATTCTTGAGTGTACCTGGGACATTCTCTAGGATAGACTATTCAAGCCACACACACAAAAAATGTCTCAATAGATTTAAAAGGTTGGCATTATGCAAAGCATTTTCTCTGATCACAACAGGGTAAAGTTAGAAATCAATAACAAGTAAAATAGAAAAAAATCATAAATATATGGACATTAAATAGTACACTTTTAAACAACTAGTAGGTCAAAAAAAGCAATCACAAAAAATTAGAAAATGCTTTGATATGAAGACAAGTAAAAACAAAATATTCTCCTAAGCAAAGCTTAGGAGAATCAGTGAAAGCAGTGCTAAGAGGGAAATTTGTAGCTGTAAATGTCTATGTTAAGAAATAAGATCTCTAATCAGTAAGCTAAATTTATACCATGGTTACCTAGAAAAGGAAGAGCAAACTAAATCCAAAGCTAGGGAAAGAAAGGAGATAATAAAGATTAGGGCAGAAATAACTAAAATAGACAATAGAAAAAGAACAGAGAAAATCAATGAACCCAAATGTTGATTATTTGAAAAGATCAACAAAGTTGATAAACCTTTACTTATATTGAAAAGCAAAAAGATAATAAAACAACTAGAATAAGAAATAAAAGTGAGGACATCATTACTGACACAGAGAAAAAGTATTATAAAAATACTATGAAAAATTATATAACAAAAAATCAGATTGTATAAGAAATGGGCAAATTCATTGCAACATACCAATTACATAAAATGACTCAAGAAGAAATAGGAAATCTTGACAGATGCATAACAAGTAAGGAGATTAAACCAGTAATCTAAAACTTCTCAACAAAGGAAACTTCTGGATCAGATGGCTTCACAGTGAATTCTACCAAAGATTTAATGGAAAAAAAAAAAAAAAAAGGATTCTCAAACTCTTCTGAAAACTTGAAGAGAAGGGGAAATTGCCTAACTTATTCTATGAGGCCAGCATTACCTTGATACCAAAAACAGATAAATATATCACAAGAAAAGAAAATTACAGGTTAACATCCTTTAAAAGTGTGCATGCAAAAACTACTGACAAAATATTAGCTAGTTGAATCTACTAGCATATCAGAAGGATTATGCATATGATGAAGTAAAATTTACAACCAAAATACAAGGATAGTACAATAAGGAAATCAATAAATATAATATATAATATATTAATAATATTAATATAATATAATATAAATTATATAATATATAAAATTATATATATGATTATTATATATAATTATATGATTATATATAATATATATAAATAATCATATTATATATAATTATATAATATTAATATAATGTTGGAAAACCACCACACAATCATCTACTTGGAGTAGAAAAGGCATTTAACAAAATGGCTTTTATGAGAGTACCTCTCAGAAAACTAGGAAGAGATGGAAAATTCCTCAACATTAAAAGTTTATTTATAAAACACCCATAGCTAATATCATACTCAGTGGTGAAAGACTAAAAGCTTTCTGCCTAAGGTCAGGAACTGCATAAGAATGCTTTCTTTCACTGCTGCTATTCAGGATTATATTAAAAGTTCTAGCTAGAGCTATTACAAAATAAAAAGAAATAAAATTTATCCAAATTAGAAAATAAGAGGTAAAGCCATCTCTATTTTAAGATGACATGATCTTCCTATATAGAAAATCCTCCCAAATTCACAAGAAAGCTACTAGACCTAATAAATTCAACAAGTTTCAAGATATAAGAGCAACCCACGAAATAATTGTTCTCATATAACAGTAATAAACATTATAAAAAGAAAATTTAAAAAGCAATTCCATTTATAATGCCATCTAAAATAATTACATACTTTGGAATAAATCTAACCAGAGGGATGAAAAACCTCTATGTTAAAAAATACAAAAAATTGCTGAAAATAATTAAATACCTAAATAAAAGGACATCCTGTGGTCATGCATAAGAAGATTTAAAATTGTTAAGTTATCAATACTTCTCAAAGCAATCTACAGATTCAATATAATTCCTATTAAAATTACAACAATATTTTTCCAGAAATAGAAAAACAGATCCTCAAGTTCATATGGAATTTTAAGAGC